TTACTATACAGGTCCGTGAACTTACTACTCACGTGGACAGCCGGCCCCAAGGCCAAAGCCCCAAACACTTCCTTTTCAACAGTACCGACGGACACTGGCTACTTTGTCGCTGGCGTTATCCGAGGCCACTCTGCAATCGGCATCGTAAGCATCAACAACGCAGTGCTTGACCTACTAGCTGCACACCAAGGTCAGTACGAGAACCGGAAAGACCGTGCGGCACTCATTTTCAGCCGTAGCCCACGCTGCCCTTCCTACAAAATTAATAGAACGCTTCGGATCGCTGCCGTCATGGCAACTCGAGGCAACAGTACCATTTAGAGCAGCCACCAAATTTCCCAATGTTATGGCAGCAACAATTCACTATATTCTCTTCGTTGCAAATCCCGTTACTGGTGTTTCAACTCAGAACGTTTGCATATCACAAATAATGTTATACGATAACGTACCACATACCGCAATAATAATGCCGGAAACTTTGGGTTCCCCTTCGGGGAAGAAAACAAAGAGGTGCTCGTCCTCTTTAAGGGAACCAAAGGGGAACCGAAGGTGAACTAAAGGGGTTTTGAACCTATGACACCTTATATAGATATCTAACAATTACCAACACAATTTTTATATAATATACTTAGACTCGCTTCATGTAAACCTAAGCCAATTCCTTTCAGAAAATAAAATTCCGTACTACCGCACATAACCATAGCCATACGAACACATTTAATTCGTAGGAGAAGGCGCAGTAGGATCGGAGGTGGAGTTTTCAGCCGTAGCCGATGCTGCCCTTCCTACTAAATTGGTAGGACGCTTCGGATCCCTGCCCTCATGGCAACTCAAGACTACCGACAGCACGACAGTAACCTGCAGAGCAGCTACTGAATTTCCCAAAATTATGGCAGCAACAATTCGCTACCCGGCAATCAATCCAAGCTGAAACGAACCAGCCGCAGATGAGAAATGGCCAGCCGATGGCAACGCACTTCTAGTCCTCCCCTATGGTGACGCCCGTCATACAGCGGGCCCCACCAAATTCGCCACAAAAATTGCCTGCATCTCAGAGCAGGCAACCGCCGCGTATGATATGGAAGTAGCGATGATGGCCATGCCCACGCCTTACGTCCAACTCTGGAAACAGGCAGCGCAGCAGCGGCAACCACTCTATTCAATAAACGGCCGAATCACACAAAAAGACAAGTGGCAGCCAGTCGTATGGCTCGGTGGAGTCTTGGTTACAGCGGCATATCCCAGCAAGGTCGTACGTCGATGGGTAGACCTGGCGTCGGCAGCAATCGACGATCAGCAACTGCCGCAATCAGTAACTACAACAGCCAGCACAGGCCCATCTACCTACACCCATCCCGTATTGGCATGGGAACGCCGGAATGCTACAGCCGTGGTACTACCTGCCGACGGTACACACAAAGACATGCGACTACAACCTAACCTGATGTTAGAAGTTAGTGTAGACCAACAGCCGGTAATCCCCCTCGTATTGCATCGAGGGGACAATACCGCCACGTATCCAGTCTGTGCGTCCGAATTAGCCGTACTACAGCAACTACCAGGTTTCCAGGACTTCTTCGCGGACCAGGACTTCGCGACGACGGAGAGTCGACAACAATACGTCACAGAAGAACAGTGGACGCTCCACTGCGACGTAAAGACGACAACACACGGACGCACCACCTTCGTGACGGACATCCGCCCCATCTGAACGACTTCAATCACGCCTTCCCGCGGCGCAAAACCGGGCGTGCTATCCCAGCACGACAAACCATCTCTAGGCATGCCCAGTACCGGGTAGCAGGTCCGAATCCTGCGATGGTTTTCACACACGACCTAAATCACAACTAAACAAACACGAAAAACCATCCCTACCCACGCCGTCCCTGGCTGTACCACAGCTTCGACGTATTGCTGCAACTCCTTTCTTTCGTATGCTGGACAGCAGGTTCGACTCCTACATATTTCTTTCGTATGCTGGACAACAGGTCCGACTCCTACGTTTTACTTCAACTCCTTTCCTTCTTTGGCTGGACAGCAGGTTCGACTCCTGCTGTCCAGTCTTAAATCTATAAAATTTTAGAACTATGGAACTGTAGAACTATAGAACTATAGAACTATAGAACTATAGAACTATAGAATTATAGAACGTCCGGATGCACCCGAACGTATCCGGACTCGGACCCGGACGAGAGCTACGGCCCCCTCGGGACCGCAGGGACCGCGCCTCGTAGTCGTAGTCCCGACGTTAGACGGACGACGTTTAGTCGTTCCGTCGTCGGGACGGAGACCTTACCCCAACTTTACGTCTGTCTGTCTGACCGTCCGTCCGTCCGGGTGGCCGCTTGCTGTTTTCGCGTTTTTCGGGGTGTCGTCCGCGGTTTCGGAGCCGCGCCTTTTAGGCTAGCTCCGTCGCCGCGTGGGAGCCGCGGTCGCCGGTTCGCGTCCCGCCGTCGCCGCTTTTTTCGTCTTCTTCCTTCGTTCGGTTTGGCGCCCCGCGCCGCGCCGCACCACACCTGCCCCCGCGGAAGGCGCCCCGGAGCATGGCCGTGCGCCGCTTCGTCGGGCACGCTAGCTCCGATGTCTAGTGGAAGCCGCGGTCGCCGGTTCGACCCCGGCGCCGGCGCGTCAATGTGTCCTTTTTTTTACGTTTACGTTGCGGCTCGCTGGCTTCCTCGCCCGGCGCCCGCACGTTTTTTTCTTCTATTTTTCGTTCGGGACCGCTCCGCACCGTCTAGTCTGCACCGCGCCGCACCGCGCCCACACCGCACACACACCGCACCGCACCGCACCCGTTACATATTCGCTGCGGCGACCTCGTGCGTATACATCCTTTTATTACCGCGAAATCTCAGCTATCCGCGTCTTTACCGGCTTCCGTTTCTGCTTCGGTTTCACTGGACCCGGCCGCAATCACGCGAATTGGCAGCAATCCGCATCATCACCTAAGCACGTCTGTCTTTGCTGTATAACTCTACTCCTGTTTCGGAGTCGTTAAAGGTCACCGCAATCGCGCGAGTTACCGACGTTCTGCGTCCGATGTTGAGCTTCGGTTTCGCTAGACGCGGCCACAATCACGCGAATTAGCACCAATCCGCGTTATCGCCTGACCACGCCTGTCTTCGCTGTATGACTCTACTCCTGTTTCGGAGTCGTTCAAGGCCACCGCAATCACGCGACCTGGCTCGCAGCCGCGGCGCGTGCGCGTCCAATGTCCGCGTCTGCCGATCCTCGGACATCTGTCATCTATACGACACGCTGCCGCGGATGTATAATTGTTAGCGCGCCGATTCCTCCCCACTTATCCTGCACTTACCTCTTTGCAAGCCTGCTTACTCCAAGTGCCTCCACCGTTTTCAGACATACCTGTTTTCAGACATACGCTCGCAGCCGGATGGATTCGCCGGACCCCAAGCGACAACGCCTAGAGCCTACATCGTCCTACAATCTGCGATGTCGCACCCTGGTGACCAGCAGGTCGGTTTGCGTTGCTCTAGTGCGTAAATACGCTGTTCGCATCCTTTGCGTTGCTGCGTCCCGTGTTTTGCGTTATGCGTTATGCGTTATGCGAACATATGCGACACCCGTCACATATGCGTTATTCTCCGTTGCTGCGTCCCGTGTTTTGCGTTATGCGTTATGCGAACCTTATCCGATCCCATCTCCTGACTTTCTACACCTTCGACCAACTCCCGCAGTAGTATCGACCCACCAGACGCCAAGCGTCAGAGGCTGGACACGGCTGCGTCCCAGAGCAGCACGTCGACGGTCGGCCCTCCCGCCGTCACCACGTAAGCGAGCTGCTACATGCAAAGAGCGTGTTCACACCAGTAAGGTACTTATGCTCCGCCTCTCACCGTGCGAAATAGACGCATCTATCAGCTCCGGCGCGCATATTTGGCCGCTGCCTGTTAAGCACAGATGTCTTCCGTCACGTTCATCGCCGCTCGCGTGCACCTTGAATATCGTGTAACGCTCCCCATTTGACGCCCCTTTGCAACACGTAGGGATTCAAGGAGCGTCACGTTTCATGTGACGTTTACGGCCGGCCCCACAGAAACGAATGAGGACCGCCTCTTTGCCGGCGCCCAGAGCCGCTACGGCAGCTTCATCGCTGGCGTGAATACCGCCGGCCAGGGGATAGTAATTATGCAGATTGACGATGTCGTCCTCGGCAGGCTGGAGAGCAGCCACGCGTTCGGCCACCGCGTGACGTTCGCCAACGTGGATGCAGCTTCCCTGCCGCCTTTCATAACTTCTCGTTTCGCTGGGGTGACGGTGGGGCAGTTTAAAGTCTCCTCAGCGACGCGGATTTCCGTGGAGCCCTCCTCCGCTGTCCCAATGCTCTACAGCGCCAGGCTTCGGTTCCCCGTTTACGATGTCGGCAGCGACAGGGCCCGCCCCGAAGACAAGCACGCGTCGGATGGCAGCGCCCTCCTGCTCATCCCACACGGCGGGATGTTCCGGGGCGGGCCGTTCCGCAAGTTTAAGGCGTGGGTCGCGTGCGGCAACGGTGACAGTCCCGACGCCGGACGCGTGGAGCTCGCCATCAGGGAATCCGCTCCCGACGACTTCGTCGCTCAGCTACAAGCAGCGGCCGATAGCAGCACGCCCCTCTACGTGTATGGTGCCAAGATCAGCCCCTCCAATAGCAAAGCTTATATGAATAGCGTCTTCCTCAGCGGCTCGCTTGTAGCAGCAGCGAGTGCCCCCGGCAAACGCCCTCCCAAACGAGTGCACACCTTCCAGGCGGCTGTTCAGCGAACTACCGCAGCCACCGTGCCCGCCGACACGACTGATATGGTATTGGCTTGGGAGCAGCGTAGCCGCAGTGCCCTTGTTTTACCGTCGGATGGTCCACACGCCTCGGCCACCCTGTCACCCAACCCCACTTCTGTCACTGTAGTCGGCTCACTACCGGTCCTCCCGCTCGTCCTCACAATCGGCAGCCGCAGTTATCCGGTGTGCACCGACAGCATCGCCGTCATGCAACAGTTGCCAAACTACGACGAGTTCTTCGGCAGCGCCAGCTTCGCAGACGATAATGATCGTATGGCGTACGCTGCTTACGACTCGTTCACCGTCACCGGTACCATCACCACCAAGACAGAAGGTCGAACAACGTTCATCACGGCTCTGCAGGAATGACTCGTTCTTGCGTGTTCATCCACTTGCACTGCCGTCCGCTGCACGTCGTCCAACTTCGCTATGGCTTGCACCTGTCCCCTCCCTTCACTTCCATCTAGCCGCCCCTGGATGGCGTTAAATGCCAGCGTTGAGCGGCTGTCTAGCCGCGCAACGACACGCTTGCAGGGCTGGGTGCATTCCGTGCACTTGTGGGTTCGACTCCCACACAAGTTGGCGGCGTCCCTCGCATCTACACTGGTGAGTGTATGAACGGTATGACCGGTTTCGCTGGTATAAGTTAGGGTGTTGACGCACGAATGCTGTACCGGTTTGACATCCGTGCGTGTCTCATTCGTATCCACCTCTTGCCGCTTCCCCGCTCTCCCTGAAGCATGCTCTGCTGTGCGTGTCCCACTCGCGTATATGATGGTTGGACATAACGAATTGCCCCGATTACCGGGCTTGTCTTCACCCGACCTTTGCGCTGTCGTGCAGGTTTGCATGTGTGAAGCTGCTGCTCC